CCCCAAAACCCCAAAACCCCAAAACCCCTTAATCAAAGGTAACAGGGTATAATGTGAAATGTATATGAATTTTTTAATTTAAAATACTCTATACCAGTTTAAATGAATTTTTATCATCATCATAGCCCTTGATAGATTTCAATTTCAGCACATTATACATTTCTATTATCTGGATCACTTACATTTCCTGTCAAAGTTAATGAGCCCCTGAATGTGGCACTATTCCAAGCTCTTCTGACCTCTACTAAAGTATCAACATAGTTTCCTCTGATAGATGAACCGCATTAGGGTGAAATTTATACTTCACTGTCATAGGTTTTGATAGTTAATACGTCATGAAATTCTTAATATGTTGCATAGGATGATGTGTCGACTGGGTAGGCAAACCTGTTAGTAATGCTGAATATTACAGCTGTGTTCCCCGAAAGAGTATTATCAGTAGTAGAGTCAGGGAATGGGCCAGAGAAAAATAGGCCTGAAACTACATTGAAGTTTGTTTTATAAACAATGAACAAATTAGTCTTGTTTTTGATAGAGGCAAACGCCTCAGTTCTGGGCTTATCGTTTGCTGAAGATTTGAAGACCTGATTAAGTTTTGTAAAAGTAGTGGTATTGATGAGATCAGTCATCCAATCAAAATCAGTCTTTTGGGCCAAAGTGCTAGTAAATGTAGAAATGTCTAATATCTTAGGAGCAGGAGGTTAAGGTGCTGATTAGACATAGATAGCCTCATTTTGATGACCATTTTGAGAAGAGAGACTAAGCAATCCTAGTGAGTTCACAATGGCGACTGAGATTTCATTGTAAGCTGAAAGACATGTACCTTTAGCGCCGTCTACCTTGTACCATTTTTAGACAATTGTCTACCACTTGAGTACTGAGAAATCAGAGACATTACCTTCATCTTAGAGTGCCCAGAGTGAGCCGTCTATACCTGCACTAATGCTTATTAGTTTTTCTCCTCCGTATTTCGCATCAACAGTGCCATCACTAGCGATAAGTATAGGCTGATCTTTCAAGAGAGTGATTCCTTTGAACCCAGATAGAGATTTAAACTCGTAAGGTGGCACTAAGGCAGGCTTATAAGCACTTGATAGAGTGTCTGCAGTTTAAAGTCCTGAACTATCAATAAGTCCAATTATCCTTTTGTCCACAGTTACTTCAAAATCTGAGAGACCACAAACGACCTTTACTTTTTCTGAATTATGCACACAGTTTTTAGGATCCAAATAGTACATGCTTCCGAGTCTGTCAAACCTCACAGCCTTGACTTCGAAGTCGCTGTTAACAAGATTCCATACATTTGAAGTAACATTGTATAAATAGAGATGGTACTTGGTGTCTTGGAGTTCTGAGGATATTTTTTGTATAGCAAACACATCTCCATCTGGGGAAGTCTAGACATCTATAAAGGCATTGACTACTTCCCACTTCAACTCTTGAGTAGCATTCCAAGAGAATTTATTTGTAGCTTCTTGCTTCCAAAGCAGTTAAGATCTTTGCTGTTGAAGTACTTTACTCACTTGAATTCCATTGCAAGTAGCAATTAAAAGTGCTGCAGAAAATAATATCTTGTTCATTTAAAATTAAATTTATTATAGATACTATGATAAAGCGCTATTTATACCAGAGAATATCGTAATTTAAGTATCTGATCAGAACTAGTTCGTTCTCTTCTTCAATTTTCAACCAAAATTACTTCGGCTACCTAAAGTAAATAAACCCAAAGATAATATTGCTGTTGCCTACACCTAACATAACTTTTTTTAAAACTTTTTAGATGGTACAAATAGATATTTTTTTTCAAATAATTTACTATAGTTTACTTAGAAACTTCCACTCAAATATAAATCCCTTAGCAAAGCTTCTATACAATTTAGATTACGATCAAAATGTTATGATGAAATGAGTGAAGAGGAAGTAAAAAATGATAATGCTTAATCCCTTAAAAAATGAAAGAAGGAATTTTACTCCAAAATTTGGATATTATACCTTATTATTTATGACTGATTTATTCTAACTTTCAGTATCCTACTTTGATATATTGATAATAGATTTTTAATTGATTTATACTTACATGATAAATTTGTTGATTTTTAAAAAAATTAGGCATCAAGGGGTTTTGGGGTTTTGGGGTTTTGGGG